CGTTTCATTTCTGCTTTGAAGTGATACATACTGGCAAATAAGAAAAGAAAAATATGTGTCCTGAGTCACCTAAGGCAGAATATGCCAGGTTCATAGGCTACACACGGCACCAGTGTAACCTGCTGGGATCCCAGCACAGCAGCACGGGTGCACCTAGATGAGAGCTGTGTGTAGGACTGTAAACTGGAGTACTTTGCCACCATTCCCAGTCGCACTGTCTCTGCAGAAAGTTGTAGAGGATGGCAGCACAGGTAAAACTGCACTGGAAACTTAGCGGCTTTGTACACTATTGTGAAGCATGTGGAGTGCCAGAGAAGTTTCTTAAGCAGAAGAATAAAGTTCTGGTTTCGGGCTTACTAGGCACGCGGCTATGTTTTTGAGCCAATTTTTGCCATCTAGAGGTGGTTACTTAAAGCCTGCATAACCTAAGCTGGAGGGGATGGAGGCTTACCAATACTTAGCCAGGCAAACTCCCATCCCTGAAGGCTTTACAGTCGGATCCAGACAGGAACAAATAATTAAGTACTTGGTTTCAAAGCAGGAAGCAGGCTCAGCAATCAGGAGTGCTAAGCAGATGAAAAAACAATGTGATTTTTATAAGGAATTCAGAGGAGATGAAGTAGATTAGATTGCTTCTTCTGTGCACTAAGTATCTGAAACATGTTGCAAATCAGAAAAAACAAATAAACATATACTATAAAATGTCAACAACTGCCAAGCTGCAGCACTTGCCAGCTTCCAGCATGGACTATATCTCAACTAACCTTACAGACCGTGACCATTTAGTGCTTTTCTTCTTTAGTAAACTACGTTTGGCAGAAACCTACATAGATCATACCATCATCAGAGAAGAGCTGCAAATCATCTTACAAATGTCAGAGACCAGTCTAAAAGCATTTCAGGAAGATAGTAACAATTATCTACAGTTAATGGATAGCTGTGATTTTTTTCTTTTTCCACTGCCTTTTAGAGGGTTACAACAAAGAATGCCACATCCCAGTTATGCTTATGGACCTTCTGGATAATAAATGACCAAAATTATGTATCAAAGATACAGCACAATATCCTTTCCTTACACATAGAAAATACACATCACCTAGGTCTATAGGCCTAGTTGCAGAGAAAAACAGAGTGGCAGAGACAGAAGCAGGAAATTAGCTTTCCTATGATTTTCACGTTGTAACCATTTTCCAAATTAATGAACTATTTCTATTTTCATATACTCAATCATAAGGGCTTCTACTCATTTTGCTGGTATGAATCCGAAGCAATGTCATATCAATGCTACTGGGTCAGCAGGCAGCATCTCTCCTTAGATATGGGTGAGTAACTACACTGGAACAAATGAGTTTAATATTAACTAATTGGCAACAGAAAGATGGTTCTCTTCCAAGTAACTCCAAACAAAGAGTGATAAAAATCAACAAGATTTAATACCGTCCACAACTTCACTTACATTCTAATGCTCCAAAAGTAAGCAAAAGGCATTTACATGTCAACCCCCATAAATATTTACAGTTATGATTGAAGCAGGCTTGACTCTTCACATCACCCCATCAAATCAACAGCCTTCAATAGACTGCTATACTGCAAACAGTATAAAACCAGGCTGAAATTAAAAAATGCAAGCTAAACATGGATCTCAACACAGACTCTTCTCGTCTGTAGCCCAGGGTTACATTAATTTTGAACCCCTATTGAGGTCTGTGCTTTGCCAACCTCCCACATTGGCACTCACAACAAGGCGTGACTCAGTGTCCAACTCCATGTACTACGTCCTCCTCTTCTGTGTCCCTGGAAAGCGACATGGTGCTCTGAGCTGTGCTGCTCCGCTGATCCTAGACCTTGCTTTCAACAACAGAAGTCAGAAGAGTTCTAGCCATGGCAAACATCCAATTGTCTAAAGACTTATGCTTGGACTTGGAAAAACAGCCAATTACCCAGACATCCCAAAATATCTAACTATGCCAACAGTGCTTTGATAATTCCAATTATACAATCTGGAATAAAACCACAAATCTTTTTTGTTTCAAATCAGCACTCAGTTCTAGAGGGCCATGGTATTTGCTGGTTGGTCAATGTGTTGGTTAGAATTTGTTATTTGATCCCTCCTGGTCAAGCTGAACAGCAGCAATATTGGAATTTAGGCACACAAATGAACCTTCTTGCTTTCCAAAGAACTGCCTCTTAGTATGATGACTTCTTGGAGACAGTACCGAGATTAACAGTTCTATACTGTGTTCCTCTTCAAACTCCCTTTGCTTGGTCACTTTTGATTGATCCTCCATGAAAGACTGAAACAGATACAGCTCGCTCAAAACAATCATTTTCTGCTAACTTACGCAGCCTGTTGCATGCCAAAGGATCTCAAACTATAAACTAGGATCACTCCTCTCTCCTACTACAAGGCAGAAAGAGCCCAGACACATAACAAACCCTGGAGTGACATTCTATCAGGGCAACACTGGCACAAGGATTAACACTTTCCTAATGAAATTATATAGCAGCTTTCCTTGAAATAGTTTTTACAGTGTAGAGGAAAATTTTCTTTTATGTAGTGTCAGGACAGTACGCCACTACCTTCAATATTGCTTTGATTTAGTGAAAATGAGAACTGTAGAACACACTACTGAGATCTTCCCTTTCCTTCTTCAGCTATTCTTTGAAAGTGCCCTTCAATCAAACTGGTGAATCTTCACTTGATCTCCTGCTCAGTGGGATCAAGTCAAAGGGCAGCTCCTCCACCTCTCCTGGAGAGCACCACGCTGCAAAGTCAGCAGGGAGAACGAGCTGGAGGGCCACCATGGGATGGGAATTTGTGACCTTCCGGCCCAGGGCTATGAGTTTGACCAACTGAGCCATGCCCAAATGGACTCTCAGTTAATTTTTCACAGATTTAACTGAATGAGCAAGCCCCAGCTACAGATTAAAAATACCTAAAGCATATTCGCAGGTATATCTTTAGTCTAGCTCACATAGATACACAAGTCCAGGCTGGGAAACCTTTCTTAATTTCATGAATGCTGATATTCTCAAACTACTGACAGACAGATGATGCCTTTCACAGGCTGCATCATGGTTCCGAGAGACCCATTTACACAGGGACAAAAAAAACATATACATAAAACGAAAAATCCAGCACCAGTGTTACCACTTCATACAGCTGTGCATACACAACTGTTTAGCAACAAATAACAAAATAAGGAATATACCTGCAGTGTCCTGCTATGACAGGTGTCACCCAAAGGTCTCACTGCAGCAGTTGCAAATATGATCTTTTCAGATTACGAAGACACTATGAAAACCATTGTAAATCAAAGGCATGCTATGTACAGCACAGCAGCTACTTGCTGATAGCAGTACAGCTCAGTTCTTCTCAATTCTTCCATAAAGAAGTGCCAGAACTCACATCTCTCCATTCCTGGCTTAAGCTCTGCTTTCTCTATAGCAGACTTACTCTTCTCTGCTTTTCCTCAGGAGGCACCTCATGCAAATCCTGAAGAACCTTTCCATACCACAAGCGTGAAGAACACAGTGTGGGGAGTACAGAGGCATAAAGTGTCAATCTTTCCAACACTGTTGTTGATCTCTATAAAACCCACCAGTCCCACAAGGACAGTGACTTCTGAGGGGCCTTGAAAACAATGCCAGAAACAATCTGGAAAGGTCCTGCTAGAAATGGCAGTTTTGGAGGAGTCTCAGAAAAAAAATACAAAGGGCACTAAGTCAAGGTGAGCTGAGAAGTATGCAGCCAGGAAAACTTGCCAATAAAAGGCACTCCTTCAGAACATAATGTTTTGTCTGACTGCTTTATCAGGAAATCAATTTACAACTGCTTCTTATTACTCTGAACTGAAAATGACAGGAGTGCAAAGGCTCTAAATCAAGGAGAGGAAGGTGGGCAGAGTACAGTAGTCATCGTTCACTAAAGGATTGAACGTTTTCTACTTTTGCATTTCAGAGAAATCCTGCCTGTTAGTTTCTTTTCCTGAGCGTGTTTTTTGTTTTGCTGTTTTGATTTTTAAACAGTACAGTTTCTGCTACCCACAGCTAGCATAACCTTGTGCCAGTTACGCAATGCTCTTGAGCTCTCTGATCTATACAATGATCTTTTCCGTGGCCAAAGCCTTCCAGATGGAGATGCCTAAAATTGCTAGTTTAGGACAAGCCTGTTACAGAGAAGAATACATGTCTTAGATTTCAAAGCAAGGACTTTGGTAACAAAGCCATCACAGACAGAGAAATTCATGTGGCACTTTCCAAGGTTTAGTTCAAACCTGCAACATGCACAAGGTAGACTAAAAGCTCCAGCTTGAAGTCAATCTACAAAGACTGACTTTAAATGTGATTTGGTCTGCTTCAAATGTTATCATCATGTCCCTTAATTTTTGTTTTGCTCCAAAAGAATACTTTCCATTTTAAATGAGTTCTCTCACTAAAGGAATACAATCCACCCTTCCCTTTGCTTCTTCCTCTGCTCCAGCTTCCTTTGAGCTGCATGGCCTCTTTGTCCATTTTCTCCCGTTTCTCACCAGTTTCCAGTTCTCCCAGCACGGCCCAATTTCACCATTCAGTTTTCACACACGATTCTGCTTGAACATTGGCTTTGTGTTCTCCAGTATATTTCCTATCCTTACCCATACAGATGAAGGGAGCACAGCGCCCGCAGTGTGCTCTACAAAATTATTAAACATGCACTTCTCTGCTACAGCCTCTCCCAGAAGGAGCAAGGAAATCCTGGAAAGTTGATAAACAGTGGCCTACAATTCCAGATAGCTCCAAGTTTGCTTAAACAGCTCTGTCAATCTCAACATTTTTCCTCCCTGCTTCAGCACACAAAAACCCTCTCTCATAGTCTCTTCATACTTGGGAGACTTAATACGAATTTGTTCTACTGTCAAGATTGGTCAACGTGTCTGCCTGTTAAGTCTCACAGGTCCTACATTTCCTCAGCAGGTCCATATTGCTTTCCCAGTAGCAATACTGAAAGGCTCACTCACCTCCTTGTGGGAATCCTTATGTGCTTCCAGTGTTTTCATGATAGTCAGCTCCGCATAGTTCTTAAACCTTGCTGGCTGGTTCCGTAAGATCTCTCTCAGGACTCGCAGCGCCAGGGCTCTTATTGAATGCTGTATCAAGAGAAATCCACATTAGAACAAGTCACTTAAAATTGTGGTTTGAAGTTAATTCTCATGGCTCCCAACACCACCAGAAACGTTACATCACTACCAGCTCCAGTGGAGCGAGCAGTGTAATCAGTATAACTAACATTCAGAACTGGTCTCCTTGCTTGCTTTTGCACAAGAATTCACATAAAATGACTGTTGTCACAGAGAAAAGAAAGAATCAGAACGACTCTACTTTGTTAAATTCCATACACTTCTGGCAGTGAAGTACAAGTTTGTACCCAAAGTAGCATGTCTGCATTACATGAGTTTACAAAGAAGCTCAGATCATATTTGTTTTGCCTTTCCTCTTTTGCTCAGCTTTGTGAACACCAAACTGGGTTCCATGTATGCAACAAAGCTGTTTCTCATATACTAATGCAGTAAAATCGACTCTCTTCCTGTAACTCTGATGGAAATTACTTTCAAGAACAGTTAAGTCATTGTAGTCAACACTGACCTATGTGTTAATCCTTTATATCAAAAGATCATTAGCAGAAAGGATTTATGACACCTGCTTCAATTTCATAACTGTTATATTAAGCTTTTGGCCTGTGGCCACTCCAAATAGAGTCTATCATTTCAACATAGGAATACTTTCTTTACTCTGCACTCGGCATTTAACGCATGTCCTTCGCTATTCATCTGCAAAATTCATGCAGTAGCACAATTCACACATACCTAAGGTCACCATATCTTCTGATACATGTGTGATGATGCTATGATTAAACATGTAGGACTAGAGCAGCTCATGCTTATACTGCATGCGACTGAAAACATCAGCCAACTACACTGCTTCAGAAATAATTTTTTTGAGAGCACACCATATGATTTACAAGCAGTGTAAGAAATAAAATGGATTTTGAATCAGATGAAATAAAAGAACTGCAAGTGCTTTGAAGCCAAAGTATTGTAACATTCAGATGGAGCACAGCTCTGACATGAAGGCGCAGCAGGGTGCTGAGACTTTACCAAATATCATTGTGCTGCTTGCACATATAGGCCCAAGTGGAAAAAGTAGAAGTCTAGCCTGTAAATTACCACTTAAAATATAAACTACTTGATATAACTATCAAACATAAAGCTGTGACAATGCAGGGTTTGTTTGGTTTTTTTAATACTTCAAAAGAAGACCTCCTGTAAAAGCAGTTTGCTCTTGATCACATTTTTGCAAGAGACAGAGACCCATCCCATGAGATCTAATAGCCTGGATCTTGAAACCATACAGAGAAAAAAACATATAATTAGCCTATTCTAGAGTGCCTTTATTCTCCTTCTTTTTGGAATGGGTATGATATAGTTAAGAGCTTGTAACTTCACCCTAACTCGGAAAGGAACAACTTCTGAAATCCTGATAGTTCTTGTACTAGATTCAAAGATCAATTCTTTCCTGATTCTAGTTCAATTTCCTAGTTATGTGTTACTAACTCTCTGGAGGGGAGGAAGAAAACCACTTCAGAGTACCTTAAAACTCACTATTGAAGACACTGAAAACGAAAGCAGAGTTGTCGACCTTCAAAGAAAAAATGAGCAGTGCAGCATCACTGATGAGATGCCGTTCAAATGCAGCAGGTTTAATTTAAACTAGTGTGGAGGAACTATCACCCTAGACGAAGCAACATACAGGAGAGGTAAGGCATAAATCTACATCTCACATCTTTGTCTCCAAGTGTTTCCAGCAGCAAGAGCAGAATGGTTTTGAAATGTTCCTCCCAAACTCCGAGATTATCTTCCCTTGTGATCTTTAGCAGTTCCAGGAGAGCTCCTTTCCGCTCCTCCACCCGCTCATTGTGGTTGGAGAGCTCCTTCAGAAGATCAGCCACCAAATCTGAATGGTCAATGGGTACTTCTAGGACAAACGGCAGCAAATCATTTGGGGAAATGGGGAAAAAGATCAAAGATGCCAAGAGTACTAACCCGCTACAGAATAAAGCGCACCTAACAAAAAAAACCCCCCCCCCCCCCAGTGCATCAGATTCCAGGTGGGCTCAGTCAAGCAGTCTAGAGAATCCGACTAGCCCACATTGTCACCCGAGTTCATAACACAGCTCATGAATCTGCACATGGCTTCTAAAAAACCAAAAGAATTGTTGTCTTGAAAGAGACAACAATTGAATTTCATCCAGTTCCAACAATTACTTCTACAAGATGAGAACTGCCGCAGTTTCTCCCAGACACACACCCAAACCCAGCGATCACATGTATGACCTCTTGATCAAAGTTCAGTGACTCATCAGTGTACTGCAAAAGAATAAAGCTAAGGTGTAGCATCACTTAAATGGAGTGAAACAGTAACAACCACCTGTTGGTGAGATGTTTCAGCCATCAAGAGTGCAAGGTTCCCAAAACCGTGTCCCTGCAGATGCATTTAGATGCTTAAGGGACTAGTTTGAGGGAAACTCTTCAGCAAATAAAAATTGAAACTGCAGTATAACATTTTCTCCATAGCCACAGATCAGGTTCTACTGATACACGAGAACACAGACTCTTTCATACCAAGGCTCAACTCCGATGCAAAGTAATACACAACATACACATGGGCAAGCACGTATCGGAGCACTACCCATACACAAATACACCAGGAACAGAGCGAGCTGCCTGCAGTTTTATGAGATACAGCAATACAAACCATCCCGAAGCTGATCCATGTCATCATCAAACACTGCTTCCTTTAGGGCAGTCTTGTCGTAAGTGTTAATCGTGTCGGCATAAGGATAGGGGTTATATTCTCGAGCACGTGGCCCTGAAAAGGCACGGGGAGGCTGGGTGTTAAGTAGGGAAGTTTTATTATCTAGAGCCATCCTTCCACCTTCCACAATGTCACTGCTTCCACGGACATCACCAGTAGGCACAGCGAGGCCACCATCTCGAGACACCTGAGGGATCAAACAGAGAGAATAGACATGAGACTACTCAAATTCTGTGGAAGCTGTAGCCTTTTTGGAGTTCACCCACCAAAACAAAAAGGCATAGACCTGCTTACACGTACATAATACC